GGATATATCGTATCGTGACCCCTCTGTTATGATATGTATCGTATCGCCAAATTCTTACCAATACACAGCCCTAATTTGCAGCAAGGAGGGTGAGTGCCAAATACAAGGAAATAAGATAATCAGAGCGCTGTTAGGGTACATTCTAGTTAAAACAGTAACCTCTATTCGTAGTGTTTTATCCATTTTAGCAGGCACAGACTTAATCTGTACCTAAAACGTTTTTTTTTTTTTTTTTAGATACTGCTATCAAGATGGGGAAGGATCCAACTAAGCCGAGAGGGAAGATGTCTTCCTACGCGTATTTTGTTCAGACCTGCCGGGAAGAGCACAAGAAGAAACACCCCGATGCTTCGGTGAACTTCGCCGAGTTCTCCAAGAAGTGCTCAGAGCGGTGGAAGGTAGGACACGGTGGTGTCGATGGGGGGGGTCGGATGCGGGGAATGTGCGTTCGCGAGCGTGACGACGAGCTGTTTACCCTTTTCTGCTTTCAGACCATGTCCGCCAAGGAGAAGGGCAAGTTTGAGGACCTGGCCAGGCAGGACAAGGCTCGCTACGAGAGGGAGATGATGAGCTACGTGCCCGCCAGGGGAGGCAAGAAGAAGAAGTACAAGGACCCCAATGCCCCCAAGAGACCCCCGTACGTCTGATTCTTTAATGGATCTTTTTTTGAAAATCAACACGTCTTCAATTCTTCCATTTTTTTTTTTTTGTCTTCTAGATCTGCTTTCTTCATCTTTTGCTCGGAGTTCCGCCCCAAGGTGAAAGGCGAGAGCCCCGGTCTGTCAATCGGAGACGTAGCCAAGAGGCTGGGCGAGATGTGGAACACCACCGCTGCCGAGGACAAGCAGCCCTACGAGAAGAAGGCAGCCAAGCTGAAGGAGAAGTACGAGAAGGTAAATAAACCGTTCCCCGCCCCAAAAAAAAACAAAAAACTTTGCGACTGAGCGAGCTCAACAACTTTGTCGTCCGTCGCAGGACATCGCCGCTTACCGCGCCAAGGGCAAAACGGGCGGCGCGGCGCCAGCGAAGGCCCCCGCCAAGGTGGAGAAGAAGGAAGACGACGACGACGATGAGGACGAAGACGAGGACGAAGAAGAGGAAGACGAGGAGGAGGACGATGATGAGTAGAGGCTGAGGCAGGCAGTGGGTCATCTTCTTGTTTATAAAGCATTTAACCCCCTTGTACACAGTTCACTCACTGAAAGAAAAATCCATTAGTTATCCAAGGGGTCAAAACACAAACGAAACAAAAAAAATGCCAACATTAAGGCTGTGTATATCGGTTGTTTTTATGCTGTACAGTTTTTTTCTTTCCTTTTTGTATAGTTAACACTACACAAGTACTGTGTCTTGTATCTTTCTGCCAGTCTTATTTCTTTTCCCCCAGTGGTAGTTTTAGACCACTATCCTGCCTGGTACAGTATAAAGGGGTGGGCTTTACAGTATTTCCCTTAGCTAGCAGTGCGCAGCACAGAAAAGCGTTATGAGTTAGATCTGAGTGTATCTTACGATTTTATTTTTCTTCTTCTTCACCTTTTACCTGTGTGTTTTCATTTCCAACGACGTTATCAGAATTGACGTATCACCGTTGTTTTACTGATCTTTATGTACCACTGTAATCGCGGGAAGAAAAACAAAATTAGCAAAAAAAAAAAAAAACGTCTTGTTTATTGTTAAAATTTAAATTGCTTTTGATGTCAAACTTTTTTTTTTTAATAAAACAAGCTTTGTGTTTGAAAAATCTTGTCAGGTGTTGTTTTTTTTTAACGTAAAGATGGTCTGGAAAATAAAAAGTTAGGTACGAGACAATTAGGTGATGAAAATATGATTGGTTATGTGTTGTAAATATTTAAGACCCAGAACAAATTGGTTTTTAAATAATTTTAAAAAGATGCATTAACTTTTATCGCTAATTTAGTGGGATGAAAGGGTTGATCTAAAGCCTGGAGATGATTGAAGAGAAAAAAATCATCTTAAGCTGTTCCTATGAAGCATGACTCATCACTACAAATATCCTGTGTTAACAGTAAACGTGCAGCGTAGTGACCCCCCCCTCCCCTCATTATGGAAGTACCCAAAGCTGCATGCCAACATGCATCACTGACTTCCTGTTTTATTTAGATGCAGCTTCATCCCATGCACTCCCCAGGTCCCATCCTGGGTAAAGGGAAAAAAAGGCATTTATATAAGAAGGATTATTTGCTTTAAAATTCTAGTGACATAAGAATATGACACATCTGTGCGTGTATTGTCACAACAAGTCAACCTCCAGGGTGGGGGTGGGACTTCGAAACTTCCAGGTTGAGCAGATATTTATTTACAAATCCRCAAAGACAATGTTTGACCTCTGCTGTAAACCGCAAGGACGTGTCCTCTGCTGTATCTCTTCAGAGTCTGAGCCTCGATAGGGAAGAAGTCAGGCAGCCGCCGACCAGCCGCCGACCTCTGGGCTGCTTCGATAAAGGCCCGTGAGTGACCCTGAAAGGTGGTGAGACCTCCTGTCCCTGAAACCCGCCCCTGATATTGTTTTTTTTGAAACAACGGAGCTGACTTCAGGCGTGTTTAYCAAAACGTCCGGCAGCTGCAAACTCCTGTCAGAGCTGGTATCAGTTCCTTCTGAGAGCCTGGAGTTAAAGAGTGACCAAAGAGCTGCTCAGATTGTGGGTTTTTACACTCCTGTGCTCTGAACAGGCCCTGAAAGCTGCGCTTTCTGCGCAGCAGCTGACAACGATGATGAGAAACAGGAGCGGTGGGGGAAATAAGGCTGAAACAGTTGCAGTAAACTGCTGCCTGCGTTCAGCTGTTGATCAGTTGCTGCGAGGGCCTTTTCAGGTCACACACACACACACACAGAAAGGGCAGCTCCACTACTGGGCCTGTTAATCTCAATCAATCCCCCACTCAGCCAGCAAAGTCCAATAAATTGTATTAGGGCGACATCTAGTGGTCAAAGTTTGCAATTGTACAATTAAAATAGACATTTAGCAAAATTATTAGAGATAAGCCATACAACAAGTTTTATTTTATTTTTTAACACCTTTACAGCATCCATATGGACGGCTTAAAAGAGAACATGTAAAGTTTAAAGTGGATTTTATGATGACTGCAGCTCATAAAATAAGATTTTTAACTTTTAACTTAAATAACGCAACATTTCACTGGATGGACACTAAGTTTGTTAGGTTTAAGACACTTAATACACTCAGAAATACACATTATGAATAGTCTTCTATTATAAAGTTTTGTTTAAAGAGGATTTGATCCATTTTTAAAACGACCACCTGGTTCTTTCTCTAACATTAAATGCCTTGCAATCCTACAGAAATGTGTTTRTGCCAAAGTTTTGATTTAAGATAATTTGACATTGAGAAACGAGAGTAAAAAAACAGCCAAAAGTTACATACTCAGTGTAAGCATTTTAATGAGTTTCAGCTGAAACCACTTTAAGTTTGAGCTAAATGCCTGTTAAATTGTCTTCAGTTGTGGCGGCCGTCTTGAACTGACTTCAAAAGATAATTTTCTGTACATTTTATGAAAAACTGTGAGGAAAGGGAATATTTGTAATGTTAAACATGATAAAACTTTTTTTCATTTAATTTTACATCCAAAACATGCAAACTAATGATTTGACCAGTTCAGGATGACGTCACTCAGACGCTCCTGCCGCACTGACCTGACCAGACATCTCCAC